TGATAGATTTTCACCTGGAAAGCATCACTTGGGATCGTCCTAAAGAAGGATGGAAACTTTTTCCGGTCACTCAGGCAGGAACATGTGGAAAAATAACTCACCTGCAAAAAACACAGACTGTACATCCTGAAACCGCCTACCGCTGCCAACGCCTCTAATGGCTGTTTGAAATTTAATTTTTTTTTAAACTATAATAATAATAATGTAATTGATATAGCACCCTACTAAATAAAAGTCATAATGTGCTTTACAATAATATTTAAAGTAATATAACAACAAAAACAAAGTACCAGAACTTGAAATATAGACAAGTTGAAACAATTTAAACAATTATAACAAAAACATAAGTTAAGAGCAAGTCATATGTCAAAGAATTGAAGAAAAAGGCAGAAAAACTTACCATAGGCACTCTGTACAAACCTAAGACAGTGGAGATTGCAATAGAATGTGAAGAAGCAGAATCACCCACAATCCCGAGGACTGGAGGGGTTCCTACACAGGTCTCATGTAATGTAACTTTCTCTTCTAGACCACTGGCTAATGACAATGCTGCACGGAATCCAATTCCTAGTTGGAGGCAGTTATCATACACACTGTATCCCAGAGTCACATTAGGTAGCAGGTGTGAGTTTCTGTTGATCTCATCAATAGCAAAAGCCATGGTCTGGGCCTGTTTGAATCCTAGAACATCAAAACTAGCACATAAAATATCACTGTTTACTATTGAAAAATACCACATGAGACACTAACTGTTCAAACACATACATGTTCGACAACTACAGATTGAACAATGAAAACAGTCGAATAGCAACAACCACAATAATAGCTGAATGAAAAAAATCAATAAAAGGATACTGTGCAAAACAAAGCAGTATGTTTAAAATAGCATTACTAGAAAATGTATTTTTTTCACACTAGTATCAGATTATCAGAAATACACTCTCATCATGAGCTTGGTTTTCCCCAGTTTCTGCTTTTTGCTGGTTCCCTGACAGACTCACCCATGGCAGGTAGGCTGCTGTGGCTCTGAGGTGAAAGACAGGTCAGGATGGGTAGAAAAGAAGTGGATTTGAAACAGTCCACCCAGAACCACATTTCCAGCCTTGTGCATCCCATTGAGATGAAACTGTCCCTGTAACTGGCAGGAGGAGGAATAAAGAGGGGAGGACACAGCAGAGGAAAAGTAGGAACACAACAACATGAGCAGGAGCAAGTTGGTATCTAAAAATGTCCACATGATTTTCCTCCTTTTTACCCCTTATCTGGGTGTAGTCTTCACCTTTTATCACAGTGTCACCCCCTTTTATTGACTTGGAGCATTGTTTAATCTTGCACACCACCCATCAGGGCACAAGGAGAAGTAGGGGCAGAGCCTAAAATGTATATCCAGAATGATTTGTACTGAAGCAGAATTAATCTGTGCACTTGGTGAAATAATGCATCATCTCATCTTGTCTTTTTTATTGCCCACTGCCTGTTTGATATTGTGTGTGTCTAGTGCCCATAGTAAGTTGCGAATCACCCAGGGGTTCAATTGGGATTTGTAAGCAGGGAGAGCCTTTGATTACAAGCAAAAGTGTAAAGGAAGGTTAATTACTTCTTTACTTTGCAACATTAATGGTGAATGTATGTACATATATATGGCTGTGACGAAGCGGCAGAGAGAAAGAAGACCAAGTATCAACAACTGGTCCAGGATTGTCGGAAAAAAGGGTGGACTAGATGGTTGTTCACAGTGGATATGGGCTGTGTGGATTCCCAGCCCAATCCGTATGGAATCTGCTGACAAAAGTAGGAGTGAGGGGCCATGAGAGAAAAAGCTGCCCAAAGGCTTGGGGAAGCGGTGGAAAGAGCCTCCTGTTGGCTCTGGCATAAGAGAGAGGACACTAGCTGGAAGACTGGAGGAGAGGGGCAGTGACTTGGCCAACACTGCCGACCCACCAACTGGAGAGTGTTGTGGTCAGGGTCGTAACACTCGATGAAGGTTGGACACCACTTGATGACCTTTCCTCCGGGTCAAGGCTACATCCATTTGAAATGGGTGTAATAAGGCATTTCCGATGTAATGAAACCTGGTTGATTGGTGACTCTAAAGTGCCCATAGGCGTGCCCTGTCCCCCACAACCCTATGAGGATAAGCGGGCTGGAGGGACATTGACACTTCCTCATTGAAAAAAAATCTGGATCAGGCGCCTCATTTAGAACGTTTGTGTGTGCATGCACAAAACAGGGCCTGAAAGATGTGTACGCCACTTCCCACACAAAGGTTGGGATCTATAAAAATAAACTTGATTGGAGAATGTGCGCACTTGTATGCCAACTCTGACGTGACAGTGCCTACCCCCTCAGGCGCTGGCTCCTGACCCCATTTCCAAGCCCTCAGAGTGAAGAGGAAATGCATTAACAATGATGCCCACACTTGTGCGCGCTGAGTTGAGGTCATCGACCTCCTCAAATGTCAATGGCAGGGTTTAGATGCATCAGGAGGCAGACTTTTATACCGCCTAAAAAAAGTCAGCCAGATTGTTAAGGCATGTACTGTTTTGCAAAATATGGTACAAAGGCTTGGCCTATCTCTCTACCTGGCTCTCACCAAACAAAATGTCCTTCTTGACATCCACTTCACCCACAAGCACCTCGATTTCTGAGTCACAAAAAGTTCCTCTCCTTGGTCTTCTTCTCGCTAGTTACCATGATTCATCATAAAGATTCATTGATCAACACGGTCATTTATATCCATCAGCATTCATGAGGTGCTTTGCATTGACCGTATATGGTTGAAAGAGGGTGTAAGGAGGGTGGGATATGAGGCTTTCCAAGTTGACTGTGATATATAAAGGCAACATTGCTTGCAGGTGTGCGTGCTTACAGTTTTATGAATCCAATTACTTTTTGCATACACCATTTTCAGCTTTTGAGAGTACATACACTTTTAGTATGAATTCAACGCATTGTTTTTTAAATGGGGCCTCAGGTCTTGTGCCCCGCCCACCATTGCTGCTTGCGCTAGGTTGACTGATGAAATGGCTGTGCGTACCAAGATGGGTAGCGGTGACTCAGCCACATGTTTGACCCTCAGTCAGACCCAGACCCAGGAGTTTTTGAGAGGTTAGTTGTGCACCAAAATTGGTGACTAGAAGATGTATCAGAATCGTAAGCGTAGTTATTTGTTTATGTTGTTTGTTAGCCAACTGTCAGTTGCTGACACAGTGTTGGTGGCTGTGCTCATGTAAACTCTCTCTGTCTGTACTGACAAGGTTTCAGTCACAGATGATAGCAGAGCGTATCCAGATACTTAACTTAGCCTCCAGCCCAATTGCTGAGTCTGGGAATCTTTTGTTTGCAGCAAGCAGCCACAGCCTCTGCTAGTCTCCAGTCAGTTTTCCAGTCGGCTAGCAGTGAGTCCAGAGTTTCCAGGCCTCTTTGCACATTGGCTGATCTCTTTTGTGATTTGGACCTGGAATACCCTGAGCTGTCTCTTTTTGGAACACGCATAGCCTTTCCTGGTAGACATCTAGGAGTTGGAGCCCCTAGAAAGAAGAAAAGGTCACAGAGACGTTGATTCCCTAAGCAGCCTCAGCCCCAGCTATTCAGAGCCTCTGTATTCAGAAACTATGAGCCTCTGTTGCCCAGCATCCCAGTTTATGCCTGGCCTGTTCCTGAATCTACCACCCTGGCCGACACCTAGTCTGTTCCAGTTTCAGGGGTCCGGTTGATGTCAAGTCTATTCCTGAGCCTGTCCTGGCTGACGTCTCATCAGTTCCTGAGGCTGTTCCTATTTCGACTGACTTCACATTTGCTCCTGATCCCAAGTCAGCAGTCCGGGGGACCCCTGCTCCTGGTTTCCTGTTGGTGGTCCAGCTCCTCATTCATTGCCTGCAATGCCGCCCCCCAAATTGACCTCCGGTGAGACCCCGTCTTTGCTGTCGCCCTCCAACAAAACCTGTCTGCCTTCTGCTTCTGTCCCCAGCCCCATTCTTCTGCTCAGTCACTCTTTTGCCCTGAGCCCAAGGTTTCCTTCTCCATCCCTAGACCCATTCCTCTCCTCTGTGTCCACTGGGCCCTGGCCCTCTCTGTTGGGTTCAGTTCTCCAAGTGTCTCCATGTGCTTCTCTTCAGTTTTCCTAGTTATTTCTCATATCTATTTTCTGTTTATGTCCCAGAGTTTTTGACTGATTTTGTTGACTTGGTTTTCTTGCTGCCCTGGATTTTGACTTTGCCTTGCTTTCTAAGTAGGATTTGTATTTTTTCTTGGTTGAATAAATCTTTGAATTGAGGTGTCACATCCCTTATGTCTACATTTGGGTCCAGTTTTCTTACAGATGTAACATGGAGAGATCTTTCCATTTATGTGTTCACCACTGTTGGTATGTCTCAGTCATTCACAGGCAAATCGGTCACACAAAAGGTGTTTTTTTCTTTCCCGAATCCCAGGGAATATACAAACAAATGATTAGACAGAAAAGCATAATGATTACTAATGTAAGTCATTTTTATTGACATTTTCCTATTTCAGGACAGATATTTTGTCTGATGATTAAATTTGCACAATTTTACTTACATAGTTACTAGATGACCTCTATATGTACAACATCAGTCGTTTCAGCAAATGCCCCAAAATAATATACTGTATGCTTACTGTATGTTCAAATGAGAAAGCCCTTTATTTGTTTTAGAAATAAATAATGTTATTATAGAGCCACAAAGTAAACTTAGGGAGGAGGTCAGGGTGGATGGATGGGTCAATAAAATGAAACAATGACCATGACAAAGTCTCCTAAGAACTCACTAAGGTGTGCCTGTACCTAACCAAAAATGACAATAGCACTGTGACATCATAAAATCATAAAAGGGAAAGTTAAATATTTTGATAATTGAAATGATTTTTAACAGTTCAGTCCAGTCTTTCTCCTGATGCCAGAATGCTTATATGGTTCATATCAAGAAGTGTAGACAAATAACCCCTACTGTCAACTAAGTTGAAAGACGTATTGGTTAATTTTATGACTTTGTGTTTCCTCGACCCATAATAGCTTTCTTTGTGTTTCTCTCTGGTCTCAGGAGGATTATGTAACATTTGGGTCCAAACAGCGCCACCAAGAGGCCAAAACTGGAGGCAAGGATGGCAAATACCTCCACTGCATCTGCATATTTACCTGGTGAGCTGATATAAGCAGGGACAAAGGCCACCCACACAGCACAGAAGATCAGCATGCTGAAAGTGATGAGTTTGGCCTCATTGAAGTTGTCTGGAAGATTCCTTGCCAGAAAAGCTAACAGGAAGCTGAGGATAGCCAGTAATCCTATATAACCAAGTAACACTGCAAAACCAATTGTGGAGCCAACTACACACTCATAAACTATCTTGTCATTATGGTATTGGGTGTTTTTATAAGGTGCTGGTGAGGAAGAGACAAGCCAGGCAACACAGATTGCTGCTTGAACAGAAGTAAGAACCAGAACTGTCCCTCTCTGCTGCACAGCACCAAACCACTTCAGACTGGCTCCACCTCCTGGCTTAGAGGCCTTGAACACAGCCAGAACAACCATGGGTTTCACCAGGATGCATGAGACACAAAGCACAAAGCTGATCCCGAATGCTGCATGTCTCAGCTGACATGTCCACAGTCTGGGACGACCAATAAACAGCAGTGAACACAGGAAACATAGTTTAAGAGAGAACAACAACTGGAAACTAAGTTCTGAATTGTTGGCACGCACTATAGGTGTTTTGCGATGATAGGTAAAGATCCCTAGGACAACAGCACAGATAAATGTGCCCAGCAATGAGGTGGCTGTCAAACAGATTCCCAGAGGCTCATGGTAGGAGAGGAACTCTATTTTCTTGGGAACACAGTGGTCACGCTGGGGGCTGGACCAGAAATCCTCTGGACAACTTGTGCACTCCATGGAGTCTTAAATAAAGCAAAAGATGGTGAGATACGTTCTTCCTACATTTTGTACAAATTGTTAATAAAACTATTGAATCACGAACACCCACCAGTCTTATTATTGATCTTTCCCTCAGAACAAGGGATGCAGTCAAAACAACACTCAGGTTCCCCCTTCTTTCTGGCCATGCGGGTACCAGGAGGACAGCTCTCACGGCGCACTGTCCGGGGGGGCTGTAGGGAGAAAAATAAATATCTGTTATTCTACACTACTAAACACTGCTCGAATGAGTTATCCATGGGTCAAAAGCAGTGGCGTGCAGTGATGTTTACAGATTGGCAAGCAGAGCCAAAGAACATACTGGTATTATGAATTATCCATGGGCAATAATAAAGGAGCCTGAAAAATAAGAATTAACCTCTTTGGATTCAAAGTTCCAGAAGATTTTATCTTCATCAAGTGTGAGTTCTTCACCTTTAAAGGCTGATTTTTTAACCTCTCCAACATTCTGAACTTTAATTCTTCCATCAGGGAGCCACTGCCAGTTCATGATATCATAGATTGGTAAGGCATCACCATTCTCATCAAAAGACACTTCATCACCAAATGGCGTGGTGAAGTTGACCTTTTCCAAGTAATACACAAGCTGTGTAAATAAGAATAAAAAATAGAGGAAAAAAAGTTTAATGAAAAAAAGAGTCATATTCTTGATGACCCACACAGCAGATCCTAATATTCAATAATAAAACTGCAAATCACACTTATGCAGTATAACAGAAGTGTAACTAGTGAAAAGAGATTGTTCTGTCTGACCAGATTATACAAGCAACTACTACCATCCTGCAGAAAGGAAAATCCTTTGAGCTTTCTACCTAGCATTGTACATTTGATAATCTCATGTTTTCTACTGTGCAAGAAACATTAAAAGCAAAGTATTTGGTCACATAAACAGGTGGAGTACAAACCGATATCTCACCTGCCATGGCTCCAGTCTTTTCAAATTACCACAGCTGTGCCCACTGAAAGGCCCTCTCCCTGGTTTGCACTGCATCATTTCATCAAGAGCATATGCCAGAGCATACACAGCCTTATACACATTGTACTCTGGCCTGAGATTTAAAATGTCCAAAAACTCAGTCTCCACATTCTCTAGATTTTCCTGTCCAGTGCATAATGCTCCTCCAGCCTCCACCCACCCTGCTGGAGGTGGTGTTATTCTACACTGAAATGTATATTCCCAAAACTGATTTACCTGAAACATATTCAAAACTGTGTATTAAAAACAATGACAATATATTATTCTTGCAAATACCAAATTAGATTGCGAGGTCAAACTCTCACCATGTTATTTCCATAGCTGTTGTGGTGTAGGTCAGGACGTATTTGTAACATGTATTCCCTGAGTCCTGGTATTTCTCCTCGACGGATGGCAATTCCCAGTGTTCCACCCAGGTACGGCATGAGGTGGGGGGTCTGTAGCACAGCAGCTGCTGTCCAGGCTTCACTGGCCATCCACTGCAGGCCTGTCACATTCTGCCTCACCACCTGTGCAATGCATTATACCAAGTGTTTGAATTCATGCTGCCATAAGAATAATGTAGTTTCTGATATCTAGTTTCTGCAGCTGTTACAGTCACAGTTTTTTGACCATCCACCAGCCGAATGAAGTGGTGGCCAACTGGTCTCAATGTGCCCGATTACCAGTCCAACAAAGTCTATATGTTATTGTAAATAACAAAATAAAATCTTTTAGTTTGAGAAAATGCTACACACAATGTATAATTGTATTATACATGTTGTGTAATTGTATTAAGGTAATGGAATTGTATTTGAAGCCCAACCTCTTCCATAAGGTCAATCATATGACCCTCATGTGCAAACACAATGACCACACGAGCTGTGGATTTCTTCATCACATCCACAATCCTCCTTAGTTCAGCTGGGTTGTCAGTCCAGGGCAAAATCTCTGTGTAGGCCAGACAACCTCCACCAGATGGACCCAGGTCAGATTGAAAGGATCGGGCAGCGTGGAGTCCGTAATCATTATCACTGATCAGCAGACCTGCCCAAGTCCAGCCAAAGTGTTTTAGAATCTGAATCATAGCACGCACCTAAGAATACAGAGAGGAGGGATTAGTGCACATGCTGGAATAATGTTTCACTGGAAATCCTGATAAACAGGTTCCACAATAGAATAGTTTAGTTACAGCCTTACAGTGTTTTTATGTGACAACACACAACTCCGTCAATGAGACAAATAATGTTACTGGTGATACACAAATTATCCCACATTTGTTTTGCAGAACAGGGACATGCTTCATGAAAACTGTTGAACTACTATTGCTTCTTTATTTTTTTCATTTCCTGATAGCTTTTCACCTGGAAAGCATCACTTGGGATCGTCCTAAAGAAGGATGGAAACTTTTTCCGGTCACTCAGGCAGGAACATGTGGAATAATGACTCACCTGTGAAAAACACAGACTGTACATCCTGAAAACATTCAATGCTTTTACCATGTCTTTCAGCTTAAGGCTGACTATTTCATTTTTGCAACTGAATTTAAATTTGAAAATCAAAATGATTCAAAAATAATTCATAGATCGTAAGGCAGAAAAACTTACCATGGGCACTCTGTACAAACCTAAGACATTGGAGATTGCAATAGAACGTGTCGAGGAATCATCACCCACAATCCCAAGGACTGGAGGGGTTCCTACACAGGGCTCATGTAATGTAACTTGGTCCTCTTGACCACTGGCTAATGACAATGCTGCACGGAATCCAATTCCTAGTTGGTTGCAATTATCATACAGACTGTATCCCAGAGTCACATTAGGTAGCAGGTGTGAGTTTCTGTTGATCTCATCAATAGTAAAAGCCATGGTCTGGGCCTGTGTGAATCCTAGAACATCAAAACTAACACATAACAAAAACTGTTTACTATTGAAAAATACAACATAATTAACTGTGCAAATATATACATGTTGCGTAACTACAGATCTTGCAAGCAATGAAGACACTTGCAAAGCAACAACCATATTAATACTTGAATGAAAAAATAAATAACAGACTAAAGGCAGTATGTTTAAAATGGCATAAATATAAATTGTAATTCTTTCACACTAATGACAGATTATCAAAAATACAATGTAGAACAAGTAGATTGACAGATTTTGCAATAAATGAAGACAACTGAACAACAATCACCATAATAATACTTGAATGAAAAAATAAATAACAGCAGACTGTTAAAAAAGCTAATATGGCCAAAATGGCCTAAATACAAATTGGGCTGGATTTTCCCCAGCTTCTGCCTTTTACTGCTTCCCTGACAGACTCACCCATCGCAGGTAGGCTGCTGTGGCTCTGAGGTGAAAGACAGTTCAGGATAGACAGCAAAAAAGTGAATTTCAAACAGTCCACCCAGAACCACATCTCCAGCCTTGTGCATCCCATTCAAATGAAACTGTCCCTGTAACTGGCAGGAGGAAGAAAATTGATCAGAGATTGCAGCAGAGGAAAAGTAGGAATACAATAACATGAGCACTTTGGTGCCTACAATGACCCTCATGACTTTCCTCTGGTTTAAGCCTTTGCCAGTTATTAAGTGTCATCACTATGTCACCACTTTTATTGACTTGCATGTTGTTTAATCTTACTAACCACCCATCAGGGCCAAAGAGGGAGTATGGGCTGGGCCTAAAATGCATTTAATTTGAGATTAATTCATAGTGAGGCAGAATTAATGTGTGCACCTTTGATAATATCTGTCCACGGTCATGTTGGCATGTAATACAGAACAAATTTAAGTAGAGGATAACTGCAATGATTGAGATGTACTGAAAATTGCATGGCAGTCACAGTCTTTATTAGATTATTTGAATGTCTCATTAAATGGATTCATGGATATGTATGTTAAGTTGTCAGTACAGTAGACAGACTGTTTACTGCTACAAATTTAAACTCCTCAAATGCACAATTCAGCCCTGAATATGAGGAATTCACTTTCACACATGAACAGAGTTTTATGATATGTTCACTACATGCTAACAGCATACTAAGTCATTTGGTGAAATAATACATCTTCTATTTTTATTACCCTGTCTGTTTGATATTGTATGTGGCTGGTGTCCATAGTAACTTGGCAGACATCAAACAGCCAGTTCTGCAGGAACTTGTGCAAGACAGGTCACCTCATTAGAACTTGCAACGTCATGGATTTGCTAACTAGAGTTTTTGTCAGTTATGTACAGTTTATGCATGTGGACACGCATACAGGCAGTATCACATGCAAGTTGTGAGGCACAACATGGTAACTGTATATCACAACATGGTAACTGTGTATGTATATTTATAGGCAGAAATCTGTTAAGGAGTTTTAATTACATCTTTACCTAATTGCATAAATAAATGCATACAATTGCTGAGCTTACCTATGAGCTGAAATTGGGGTCAAAAAGATTTTGAGCTTGTAAAGGGATCCTCATAATTAATATTTATAAGTTTGTTAATGTAAATCAACCACTGTAAACCTGTAAATTGTGTCAAGTTTCTAGAAACATTTTGCATTTGTAAACCAGACTAAGTCAAGACCTAGTATATGGCTGGACCATGTCGTATTTGCAGTCAGCTGTTTATCTGTTTGCTTCTCTCCTACTCTATGTGCTCATATAGTATTTTAATACAGCCAAATTCCTAATAAAGCTGTGCTCATTTACTCATTTCTGTCTGTTTCTGTTGTCAGACAACCAAATAAGTATGAAATAGCGACTGAAACATGGCCCACTAAGATACTATATTAACCAGCAGTCACTTCCAAGCCATTTCTAAGTTGCTGCTCTGCACTGCTAATGCACTGCTGATGTTAATCATATTGTCATTATGAAATTACCATCCACACAAGTTAAAGAAAACAGATGTGCAGTGATGTTGGCTATATTTACTTGTGAAATGATCACTCAGAGCGAAAGTTAGAAGCTCATTCATGTCAGCTGATGTGCGGTCAGCTCGTACGGAAGTCTTGGCAACTCTCCTCTATGAAAAGCAGCTGAGATTTGTCACTGGCTGCTTTTTGAAAAAACGTAGCAAAAGGAGCCTTTTGACTTTCTGTGATAATTATGTTCATATACTTATGTTTAAAAAGGCCAATAAAAATTCTGTAGTAAAAAAAAGCACTGAAGGATGAACTGAATTTGGTGGCCAAAGGTCTCACAAAACACGTTTTATGGCAATGACTCACAAAATCATACACTAATTACGACACAATTTAATTAAAATGAGTATAAGGATGAAATGAAGCTATGACATTTCATATCCAAATTGTCAAAGGTTAAATTCACTGTGACATCAGATATTCTGCATAAAAACCTCTAGCTATTATTCAATGCTGCAACTCAGGAAGGGAATATTTTGACCATATTTCCCGCAACTTAGTTGATTGGCAAGGTCATGATTCTAGTTTTTTCCAGGTGATATACAAACAATTGATCAGATAAAAACATCATGATAATTCAAAAATGTTAAGTCATTTTTATTGACATCTCTGTTGCTTCCAGTTTTGTCTGGTAAGGAACACTGTTACACAATGCAAGTGAATGAAAAATAAAGAGTGGATCATAGTAATTGATTAATTTAATTGAAAATTTTAGATTGTTCTCCAGTAAGAACCTACTCAATTGCAACTGGTCATGTGAGACAGTATCAGTCGTTTAGGCAAATGCCCAAATATTATACATGCTTCATTCAACTGACAAAGCCCTCTAGTGTTCATATGGGAGAAAAGAAGGAAGTGAGCTGATGTTGTGTTATCATAGGGCCACAACTTAGGGAGGATGTTGTGGTGGATGGATGTGTCCACAAAACAAAACATTAGCCACGACGGGATCTGCTAACCTTAATGAAGTATTAATTTTAACCCAAACCATGGTCTTTCCCTAGACCAAGCTACAGTAAGATATGCCTAACCCTAACCAAAAAAATACAGTATTCTCTTCTATTGTCAATTAAGTTGGAAGACTGTTAGCTAATTTTATGACTTACTGGTGCCCCGACCCATAATGGCTTTCTTTGTGTTTCTCTCTGGTCTCAGGAGGATTATGTAACATTTGGGTCCAAACAGCGCCACCAAGAGGCCAAAACTAGAGGCCAGGATGGCAAATACCTCCACTGCATCTGCATATTTGCCTGGTGAGCTGATATAAGCAGGGACAAAGGCCACCCACACAGCACAGAAGATCAGCATGCTGAAAGTGATGAGTTTGGCCTCATTGAAATTGTCTGGAAGATTCCTTGCCAGAAAAGCTAACAGGAAGCTGAGGATAGCCAGTAAACCAATATAACCAAGTAACACTGCAAAACCAACTGTGGAGCCAACTACACATTCATAAATGATTTTGTCTTTATGGTATTGGGTGTTTTTATGAGGTGCTGGTGAGGCAGAGACAAGCCAAGCAGTACAGATTGCTGCTTGAATGCAAGTAAGAGTGAAAACTGTCCCTCTCTGCTGCAAAGCACCAAACCACTTCAGACTGGCTTCACCTCCTGGCTTAGAGGCCTTGAACACAGCCAGAACCACCATGGTTTTTTTCCGGTCACTCAGGCAGGAACATGGTGGAAATAATGACTCACCTGTGAAAAAACACAGACTGTACATCCTGAAACATTCAATTCTTTTACCATGTCTTTCAGCTTAAGGCTGACTATTTCATTTTTGCAACTAGAATTTAAATTTGAAAATCAAAATGATTCAAAAATAATTCATAGATCGTAAGCAGAAAAAACTTACCATGGGCACTCTGTACAAACCTAAGAACATTGGAGTTGCAATAGAACGTGTCGAGGAACTCATCACCCACAATCCCAAGGACTGGGGGTTCCTACACAGGTCTCATGTAATGTAACTTGCTCCTCTTGACCACTGGCTAATGACAATGCTGCACGGAATCCAATTCCTAGTTGGTTGCAATTATCATACAGACTGTATCCCAGAGTCACATTAGTAGCAGGTGTGAGTTTCTGTTGATCTATCAATAGTAAAAGCCATGGTCTGGGCCTGTGTGAATCCTAGAACATCAAAACTAACACATAACAAAAACTGTTTACTATTGAAAAATACAACATAATTAACTGTGAAATATATACATGTTGCGTAACTACAGATCTGGCAAGCAATGAAGACACTTGCAAAGCAACAACCATATTAATACTTGAATGAAAAAATAAATAACAGACTAAAGGCAGTATGTTTAAAATGGCATAAATATAAATTGTATATTCTTTCACACTAATGACAGATTATCAAAAATACAATGTGTAGAACAAGTAGATTGACAGATTTTGCAATAAATGAAGACAAACTGAACAACAATCACCATAATAATACTTGAATGAAAAAATAAATAACAGCAGACTGTTAAAAAAGCTAATATGGCCAAAATGGCCTAAATACAAATTGGGCTGGATTTTTCCCCAGCTTCTGCCTTTTTACTGCTTCCCTGACAGACTCACCCATCGCAGGTAGGGTGCTGTGGCTCTGAGGTGAAAGACAGTTCAGGATAGACAGCAAAAAAGTGAATTTCAAAAGTCCACCCAGAACCACATCTCCAGCCTTGTGCATCCCATTCAAATGAAACTGTCCCTGTAACTGGCAGGAGGAAGAAAATTGATCAGAGATTGCAGCAGAGGAAAAGTAGGAATACAATAACATTAGCACTTTGGTGCTACAATGACCCTCATGACTTTCCTCTGGTTTTAAGCCTTTGCCAGTTATTAAGTGTCATCACTATGTCACCACTTTTTATTGACTTGCATGTTGTTTAATCTTACTAACCACCATCAGGGCAAAGAGGGAGTATGGGCTGGGCCTAAAATGCATTTAATTTGAGATTAATTCATAGTGAGGCAGAATTAATGTGTGCACCTTTGATAATATCTGTCCACGGTCATGTTGGCATGTAATACAGAACAAATTTAAGTAGAGGATAACTGCAATGAATTGAGATGTACTGAAAATTGCATGGCAGTCACAGTCTTATTAGATTATTTGAATGTCTCATTAAATGGATTCATGGATATGTATGTTAAGTTGTCAGTACAGTAGGACAGACTGTTTACTGCTACAAATTTAAACTCCTCAAATGCACAATTCAGCCCTGAATATGAGGAATTCACTTTCCACATGAACAGAGTTTTATGATATGTTCACTACATGCTAACAGCATACTAAGTCATTTGGTGAATAATACATCTTCTATTTTTATTACCCTGTCTGTTTGATATTGTATGTGGCTGGTGTCCATAGTAACTTGGCAGACATCAAAACAGCCAGTTCTGCAGGAACTTGTGCAAGACAGGTCACCTCATTAGAACTTGCAACGTCATGGATTTGCTAACTAGAGGTTTTTGTCAGTTATGTACAGTTTATGCATGTGGACACGCATACAGGCAGTATCACATGCAAGTTGTGAGGCACAACATGGTAACTGTATATCACACATGGTAACTGTGTATGTATATTTATAGGCAGAAATCTGTTAAGGAGTTTTAATTACATTCTTACCTAATTGCATAAAT